CTTTAGTCACTGGCCTTGACAATGATACTTGGGGGCGATGACACCAAGCGCTCAGGCCACAAAAGCAAAAAACAAATAAATGGTTCTACATCAAACAGAAAGATCTTGTGCCCATCAAAGGAAACCACTACCATGATGAAGTGGCATTCTGTGGTTGGAAAAACTATATTTTAAAATCATGTACCTGATCAGGGATTAATGTTAAGATTTATAAAAGACTCATACAACTCAATTACAGAAAAACAAACAGCTTAAATAAAAATAATGGCTAAAAGGCCTAAAAAGTTATATATCCAGTGAGGAAAAACTGCTAGCAGGTATTTAAAATGTGCGCAGTATTGTTGACCATCAGGGAAACACAAATCGAGTTCACTATGACATACCACTTCATGCCATTAGGATGACTAGAGAATTCTCAAAAAGTCAAAAGATAACACCTTGGTGAGGGTGTGGAAAGAAAGGAGTTCTGGAGGCTGGTGAGATGGCTCAGTGATCTAAAGCATCTACTTAGAACAAGCTAAGCTAAGCAAAACACAGAGACCGTGGTTCGATCCCCCAGCACCACATGCCAGTCAGCCCCGCCCCCTGGTGGGCTGAGCTGGCCACACACAAAATAAATAAATAAATAAATAAATAAATATTAAAAAGAAAAAAAAGAAAGGAGTTCTGTATATTGCTGGTGGGAATGCAGATTGGTATATACAAAATAGAGAAGAAAGGTCATTTTCATTCTGGTGATCTCATCGTACTGGGTCATAGCTTCAAACCTCTACTTACTGAGGTCTTTAATTCACTTATTGTCACCCTTATCTTCCCAGACACCCACAGGAATTGTGTAGAATGCAGCCTCAATTACTCTTCTGCTTAACTTGCCATACATATTGTGTGTGTGTGTGTGTGTGTGTTTTAGAGAAGGGTCTACAGGGTGTTCAGGGTCTCAGTACTAGGTCAGACTCATAGTGCTCTGCCTGTTTACGGCCTCCCAAGAGCTGGGATTATAGTCATGTGCCACCATGTCCAGTTCAATTGCCATCTCAGTGCACCCTGGGGGCAGGGCTGGCACAGCAGGCCTGGGGATTGAACCCCAGCCCCTGCGCCTGCTTGCAGGAGTTTAATCCGCTGAGCTACTTGGCTGGCCCATCGATTTGTATTCTGTATGGTTTAACTTCCGAGGATCTCTTAAATGTGTGCCCTCCTTTCCACATTTTCTCTTGTTTCTGTATTATACTTCGAGCATCGCCCCTGCATACTACAAAAAAACTCAGCTGGTCTCCCTGCCTGTTTCTTCTTTCTCTTAAGTCATAGCTCTCCCTAGATTTGTCAGTTACCTATGTCACCCTCAATTGAAACTTATATTCTGAATAAACTCCAGGCCCCTCAGCAGAGCACACAAAGTTCCTTCAGGTCTGATTCCTTGCCAACCTTGCCAGCTTTATTTTTGTCACTGTTGCTTGCATGACTGTTCTAATGAATTTTTATAGATTTTTCACTGATCATTCAAATCCCAAAGCCAAACTAACACCAGAGTGCTTTATATTTCCTCCATGGTCTGGTTTTCCAAGCTGTGCCTAAATCACATCTTAATCTTCCTTGACCTCTTTGTTTCACTTCCTACCTGATGAAATGCGTCTCAACCTACTGTTTGCCACACTAGTGAGGGACAGACAGTCTTACTTAATTCCCCTCTCTGTCCCTGATCACTCTGTGTCTTGAGGACTTGTGTTGCAATGTGGAACCATGTGTAATGAACTTCTAGTCTTTTGAGGACACTGACTGTGCATGCTGTCACCCAGTCATGCCAATAAATTAAATCACAGGTACCTTTTAAAACAGCGACACCTGCTTTATACAGCAACTTCAAAGAAATAGCTTGTAGGCTGGGGACTTCTGACCCAGTTAAAGTGTTTTAATTGGGCTACCAGCCTTCAAACATTTTTCAGTTATCCACCAAAATTTAAAAAAGTGGAAAATGTCCCATAAAAATTTCCCTGTATGGGACCAACAAGATAACTCAGCAGACTAAGCACCTGCCTAGGCAAGTGCAGGAATGGGATTTGATCCCCAGCACCACATGCTGTATGACCCTGCCCCCGGCGCGCAAGCTGGCCACAGAGTCCGGGTTTGGTGGTGCATGCCTGTAATCCCAGCGCTGGGGAGGCTGAAAACAGGAGGATCACTATAAGTCTGAGCTGTGTACTAAGACCCTGTACCAAATACATTAAAAAAAAAAAAAAAATCCCTGTATGGCTTCTCTTGAAAAATGGTACAGTTGATCACTTAGGTGTTACAATACACATGGCTGACTAGAATCTGCCTCCTTTTGTCAAGACTAACCTCTGAAGTTTTAAAATTAAAAAAAAAAATCATCTTTTATTTATTTATTTGGTACAGGGCCTCACTGCCCAGCCCCTCCCCTTCAGTTTTATTTGTTTATTGAGACAAGGTGGTCTCATTTAGTTCAGGCTGGCCTTTGAGTCACCTGTGTAGCACGGGCTGTTCTTAAACTCAGGGGATGTTCCTGCTTCAGTCTCCCCAGTGCTGAGATTGCAGACATAAGCCACCATGCCAGTCTCCTGGGTGTTTCTTTTAAGGCAGTCATTTTGAGTTTGCAGCCCTAGGTGTGCCATTAGGAACAGCAAATTACCATGTTTCCTGCGTCTTACACCCACTTTCTTGTGTGTGGCGCATCCTATTCCTGCTCAGGCTAATCTCTCCTTCAGGAAGAACTCTGTTGGTCTCCAGCAGCTTTTCACTGAGTTCATGATTGGCTCAGCACGCCTTGTGCACACTCACATCACGTGGCACTTCTTGCTGTCACGTCCCTTGCCATGTTACATTCAGTTTAAACGTTTGTAGGGATGCTAGAGTTCCTCACAAATTAATTTCACATAGAGATCCACTGGAAACGCCTGATGGAAATTTCGAGAGCCACTTCTTTATTTCACATCATTGTTCTCTCAACAGCCAAAAAGAAGCCGGCAAACCAGGTTTGGTGCCGCTTGCCTTTAACCTCAACACTCTTGTAGAAGATGCAAATTCGAGCTGATTTAGGCTATTTGGCTGATTAGTTAAACTGCCTCAATTTTTTTTTTTTTTTTTTTTTTTTTTTCTTTCTTTCTTTCTTTCTTTGTTTTTTTTTTTCTTTTTCAATTTTTTTTTTTTTTTTTTTTAAGCGTTGGGCTTGTAGCTCAATGTCAGGCCTAGGTCCAACCTCCAGTGCTGCAAAAAAGAGGTGAGGGGCAGGGAGGGAGAGGATGGAAGTGAAAGACTGAAGAAGGCAGGAGGGGAACAAATGGCAGATATCAAAGAATGAGAGCGTCTCTCGTAATAATTCTGCCCTGGTTTCAGAGGCGCGCGATGCATCCTAGAACTACAATTCCCATCAGGCACTTGGGGACCCTTGCGGCTCCAACAAGGGAACACAGTTAAGGGACTACCACTCCCGTGATGCTCCACCTCCCGCGCCTGCGCAGAACCTAGGGCCACGTCGCTTTTGCGGCACCGGAGACCACGCACCTCATCCATGGCTACCGTGGACTCCCGGCGAGTAGGGGATGGCGGCGGGGCAGGCGGCACTTTCCAGCCCTACCTCGACTCTTTGAGACAAGAGCTACAGCAGAGTGACCCGACGCTGTTGTCAGTAGCGCTGGCGGTCGCCGCGGTGCTGCTGACGCTGGGTAGGGGAGCGTTCCGGGTGGTGCCGCTGCGGGGCGGGCGGGATCCGGGCTTCAGCTGTGCTTCTGCAGGCCCGGGTGGACACCGGGGACAGCTGGACTGTGAGCTTTACCCGGTCCGCACTTCGCGCTCTTGGGAAGCGGCGGCGGCCGCGCTGCATTCAAGGGGACATCCCGGGCGACTCTAGGAGCAACGTCCGGGTCCCGGGGACGCGGATTACCCTTGTAGCTCACTGCCTTCCGTGCCTGAACCACGGCGCCTCCCCTTCCGTCCTTCTTACTGCCGGGGTTCACGTGGGTTTTACACCAGCTTTAGGCTTTCTGTGTTTGCGAGGTGGGCGCTGCGGGCACATCCGACTCAGGGTATCCACGTTCTGGGTTTGGGGTACAGAAAAAGGAGACGGGGAAGTGGGGCGTGGACAGTGGCTGGCACACCAGAGGATTCCTGGCGACGACAGCAAGGGTTATAACGGTGGTAATCAAGAAGTAAATCGGGTGTATGTGGTGTTTTGTCGTACGGTGGCTGTTAGTACCATTGATTATCATAATTTTACTGTCTTTTTTTTTTTTTTTTTATCTTTAGTGGTATGGAAATTTATCTGGAGCCGAAAAAGCAGTCAAAGAGCAGTTCTTCTTGTGGGTCTTTGTGACTCCGGGAAAACACTGCTGTTTGTCAGGGTAGGTGCTTGGATTTACACAGAAAACATGACATCCCAGTATTCATGTGATCTGATGGCTTTTTTGGTGAAAGAAATTTATGCCAACAAATTTGGGAGTTAATTCTTGACTTGCCTGTGAGGTGAAGAGACTCCTTCAAAACCTATGAACCAAATTTTATTTTTCTTTTTGCCGTGCATTTAGGCTTTCTCACAAGAATTTTAAGTATTTTGTGGCTAAGAGTGACAGAACAATTGGAGACATAGATGCCAGAGACATACATACGGTTTATAATTTTTTAGGTAATAAACGCTTCTGAGAACTTAAGAGTTTTTGGGGAAATATTTTAAGACTTTGCAGTTTTTCAGATTTTGGAATATTTCCTTAGATTTTTCTGGTTTAGCATCCATGATCCAAACTCTGAAATATGCCAAAATATGAAACTTTAAAAAACAATATATATTGCTTTTCATTGTAAAATATGTTATAACTTCTGAATAGCCTTTTCAGAATGCTGTTTGTAACCGTAGCCAAACTGTGATTGCAGTCAAACTATGATTTGACAAAACCAGTTGCGTCCCAGTTTAGAGATGCTTCTTCAGTAAATTTATTGTCATTACATCTCGTAGTGGCATGAATATTGGTTGATAGTTTCGTGTTTACAAATAAAGTGAAAGATGACATAATGAAGATGGATGTCAAACTTTATCTATGCAGTAACTTCTTTGGGGAATCAGATAATAGTAGGATACATATAGCACAAGAAAGCTTGACCTGCATTATTAACTTTCATCACTTTAAAAAATGTAAACAGTCCCCAAAACAGTAAATGAAAGCCCGAGTCAGCTTTTGCTGATGTGCTGTAATACTCCCAGCTTGGTTTCAATAAGTTAACAGCTCAGTAATTTTGTCAGTTTTATTTTTTTATTTTAGGCTGCCTCTTCTTTATTTTTAATGTATTCCGTATTTTTGAGCATATGTTTTACTATGGAGGACAGAACGAGGTTTTCTGGTTTTTAATCTTCCTTTGGAGTAGAGATACTATTTTTCTAAGCACTAAAGAAATATAATTGTAAGTCATTTTTGATGGCTAAGAATGCTTACAGAGGTCCCTAAATTTAGCCACTAACCATGGTTTGGAAAGAATAGTTTTTCTTTTCTATGAGAGGAGATGAATGAAGTTTGCAGTTAATCATATTTTTCCACAGACAAAAATCCCCAGCATGATCCTTTCCTCTACTGTAAGCAGCATTTATTTATTTGACTTTATAGTTGGGAGAATTAGAACATTATTACTCAAATTAGATTTGCTCTTACTGTAATATGCTTACTGTAATATCTCTTCCTTGTGCTTTCTACAGCTGTTAACGGGCCATTACAGAGACACGCAGACTTCTATTACTGACAGCTCTGCAGTGTACAGAGTCAACAATAACAGGGTAAGGTCCTGGAGCGTTGGACTCTTGACGTTCCCACTTAGCAAGAACATTCCTAGAATGAATTGCTGAGGTTTGAGGCACCATTAGCAGCTTTATCTTTGTGAACGTACTCTGTATGACAAATTCTACTCTTGATGATACATGCAACAGGTTTAATTATGTGTACTTCTTTGTTATAATTTATGTACAACAGCATTTCATATTTTATTCTTTAATCTTTTATTTATTTGGTACAGGGTCTCACTATGCAGCTTGGACTTATAGTGATCCTCCTGTCTCAGCCTCCCCAGTGTTGGGATTACAGTTTTGTGCCACCATGCCTGGTTTCAGTGGCTGGCATAGCATGTGGTACTGGGGATTGAGCCTGTGTCCTGTACTTGCCAGGCAGGTGCTTAGACTGCTGAGCTAACTCCCCAGCTTTATCACATTTTATTCTTACATTTTGTCTTTTCAATTTTACTATAAGTTCTTCAGAATCAGCATTAAGCTTTCTTTTATGTTTTCAATAGATAATGCGTATAGGACAAAAATTTTGACAAAAGTAATCTTTTCTTGAGTCTGCCATTTAGTCTTTTCCTTAAAAGTATTGTTAATTTTTTGTGTATAATTTTCCAGATGGTCTATGCCTATACAGATATATCATATCCTTTAATTTTTCTTTGTTAACACACTGTTCTGCCTATTTTTAAAAAATCTAACAGTGTGGCTGCTACATCTTGGCTTTTTTCCCCCCCGTATTTGAATATAATACTATCTAGTTGATTTATGAACTATCTGGTATTCCATTATGTGGCTCTACCATGGAATTAAGTTTTTATTTAGAGGCCCATTAATATTTAGTTTTGTTTGCTTAGTTTGTATTACTTGCTTTTACAGTGTCACAATTGGTGATACAAAATACATTTTAATACATTTCAAAAATACTGTAAAGTATTGTAAACCCTCCCCCCTCAGCTTTCTATGTATCTCTGTAGCTCCAGAATATAGACAGTGACCACCAATCCAGTGATAGTGGTCTATGAGTTTTGGTGAGTAAATGGAGTGAGCGCTAGTAAGGGATTGGAGGGGTGCAAGGACAGATAGAAGGATTAATTCAGTGTAACCTGAAAGACCTTTTCCTCTTTTTCTTGGGCTTTCCCTTTCTGGTGCCTCCAGAGTTAAATATAAGCAAAGATAAAGCAACATCCACTGAAATGTCTTAGGGGCTTTTTTTAGTCTTTAATTTTAGTTTTCAATGATGGTACTTTTTTCTGGCCCATGCTTTTTTTTTTTTTAATACTATTGGGAGCTGAACTCAGGACCTTGTGCTTGCCTGGCAGGCATTTGTGCCACTGAGCTATCACCCCGGCCTCAGACTTTTTTAAATTTCCAGGGATTTGGATTTTGCAGCTTCCCATTTGAGAGACCATTAATTTTGGGAGTACTGGAAGCAGATTTTTTTAACATGGGTATTCCAGGGTATACATTAGGCCTGTACCTACAGTACAGTAGGCATTGGTCATGTGTGACTGTTACACACTTGAAATAGGACATTTCCAACTGGACGGGTGCTGTACATGTAAAGTACCCACCAGATTTTGAAGATATGATATGAAAAAAAGGACATTAAATGTTGTCTTTTTTTATTACATGTTAGTAATGTTTTAGATATACTGGGTTGAGATTCATTTCACTTAATTTTACTTTTTAAATATGTATACTAGGAAATCTAACATTATATAAGTGGCTTCTAGTATGTTGTCATTGAGTAGACAGAACTTTGCTCCCTTCACCACTCCCTCTCTCGCCTTACTTCTGTGTATGTCCTCTGATTTGTTCATACTGCAGGGTGCAGTGCTGCTTTGGAAATGGAGCAGTCAGTGCCAGCGGGGTGTCTCCAGACTCCTATCATTGTGTATTTTTAAAGGCATTTGCATTTGTCTATAAAGAATTGCCTATGGTGCCTGAAGGGCCATAATCCAGTTGTGATTATATCAGATTGGTACATGATACTGGTTTCCTTCTGCTGAACCAAGATCATGGTTGGCTGTAAGGTAAACTGGAAATGAAGAGTGCTTGCTGGGTCTGATACATGTACCAGAGTCCTGTCTGAGTCGCTTCATTTAATGCAGCCACACATACATGGATCATGAAGTCAAGAATAAAGGCCTGGGGCTGGGGAGATAGCTCAGCAATCTAAGCGCCTGTCTGGCTAGCTCAACAGCCTGGGTTTGATCCCCAGTAGTGTATGCTGGGCTGGCCCCTGGGGCGTGCTGGCTCCTGAAACCCATGCCGTCCCAGGGATTGAACCTCTGGCTCTTAGTGCTTTAATCTGCTGAGCTTTTTGGCCGGCCCTGGACTGAAATATTAGTTACTTATTTTTGCTACCTTCCTCAGGGTAATAGTTTGACCTTGATTGACCTCCCTGGGCATGAAAGCTTGAGGCTTCAGTTCCTAGAGCGGTTTAAGTCTTCGGCAAGGTAAGTGGAAAGGAAGTGAAATGTGCTTGCTAAGTCTGTATGAACTATGTTGAGTTCACACGTAATGGGGGATTCTGGAGTCACGATGATGTTACCCAGTAGAATGAACATGGACCTTCCGAGGCAGCCATTTCTGGGCTGTAAGCCCATCTTTGCTAGGATTGTACGAGATAATGCTTAAGGAACATTTTCCAGAGTGTTCAGGAAGGGTTACTTATTATTGTTAATTTCACATTTACCCTAGAAATTAATTTAGTGATGTATAGGATTATTGCAATCTTAGAAAAGAACTTCAAAGCTTCTGTGGAGCCTTGAAGCAATTAAACAGTACAGTTAAGTCTTTTCTTACATTACCTAAAATAAATACCTCAAGAAAGACGGAGCAATATTTTCATATTTTAATATCTGCCATTGTATTATTGACTCTTAAGTTCTTTCCTAAAATTCCTGTGCTATAATTTTAAATGTTCTCTTCAACGTGGAGGAGGACTGAGGAGGGAAATTTGTATACCACGTCAGTTATCTGAAGTCACATTTTAACATCTCTGAATTTAGAAGGCATCTTCTAGTTGATGATGTGAGAGATAATTGGCAGTGTTTTCCCTCTTGTGGTGGTGCCTCAAATAATAGATTTTTAAAAATTGATAGCATCTTAGATCTGATGGAATGAGCTAATTGGATCTTTCCTTTTTGATGAACATGTGTAGATTTAGTTTTTATTTTCCTTTTGCTTCCTTCCCCACAAGATGGTGGTGATGAGCAATTTGTCACAGATAAAAATTGGACTTCTTCTTTTTTACAGCTATCAACTGTGACAGATGTAGGGCTGGTAAATTTTGCCATGTGTATGTTAATTTCCTATTATAGTTTATTAAAATTTCCTCTTGTCAATTCTAAATATTTTGCCATTTGGATTTTAATTACTCTCTGAAGTATATTAGGGAAATAGAATGTTGGATATATGAAGACGAGCTTAGTTGAAAGACTTCTTAATCACAATAAATGTACTGTGAAAAGACATTTTCTATCTTGATATATGGCATTTTATGTCTACCTTCTGGTTTAATCAAGTTTCCTTGGTCTTTGTGGCATCCCTTACTGGTTTGAAAGTGTTATTTCTGTGCTTTCCTGGTTCTCTACTTCTTGTAAGCACTGCACACCAGTGTAAAATAAATCCAGGTTTCCTTTTCTTGAGCTTGCAACACTCCTTGATCATCACATTTTATTTATGCTCGCTTTTAGTCCCAGCAATTGCTAGTTGTTTCCTTGGACTTACCGGCATATTTGGGATTTCTCTGCTCTTTCTTGAAATTCTTCTTTCTACTCTTCTTAGGTTATTTTTCTCTTAGTATATCTTTTAGAAATATGTCCAGAGAGGGTAACAAGTAGTAAATTTTCTTACCCCTTTTTTCATCTGAAACTATCTTTCCTGTATTTGGCTCTCATTTTTGAATGCCAGCTTAGCTCAGTGTCAAGTGTGGACCAGCAGTTGTGCCTGTGGCCACATGGAGGGCAGACTCCTGACTTCATGCATCTGCTGTTACAGGGGAGCATGCTGTTTCCAGTCGAATTGTCATTTGTGTATTTATTGCCAGTCTAACCATCATAGGTCATCCTGGTCCTACCATCTGTCCAGGGGAGGCTTCAGCTTTGTGACATGTGGCATTCAAGTGTGCTGTCCCAGAGCAAAGATTCACCTCTCCAATTCTGGGAAATTCTCCCTACCATCTCTTCAGATGATGCTGTTTCTAAGAGATAATACTGTTTTTGCATTTTCAGTTTCCAAATCTTAGAAATTTGTTGACTTTATTGAACTTTATCATCTGTCCTTGCCTCGTCTACCGTATTTTCTGGATTTTGATTTCTTCCTTCTGTTTAGGTACAGTAGTCTTCATACCACAGAAGCATAAGCTAAATAAGCCAATGTGTCACATCATGGAGCTGCCTTAGTTGTCCCTGCTTTCCCCAACTCTCACGTACCTGATATCTTGACTTCTCCAAGGTGTGCGCCACTAGTTTGGACTCGAACATACCATTTTTCAGAGAGCCTGCTCCAGTTTTTGTCTAGCTAAAATTTAACTTCATGGTTGTATCTTCTTTTAAATCTTCTTTGACCTCATTTCATTAAAGTTACCTTATTTTTTCCTGTTATTGTGTGGACATAGTTTTGTCTTGGCAGCTATCATACAGGTTTCTATGATTTCTGTATCTTAAAGGGCAGATATCATTTATTGGTGGCTTTTCAGCCTCAGTTGTTGATTTATAGTAATACTTGAAAATTCTTTGCTAAAAGCAGCTTTGTGTTGTGTGAAGACACATACATAAACCTTGGATCATGTTTGTTGCGTATAATTCACCAGGATTGAACTTCAAGACATTAAGGATAGTTTTTCACTGTTACATGTTCCTGTCCCTTTTTTTTCTCTCCCTCCAGAGCTTTTGTGTTTGTTGTGGACAGTGCATCATTCCAGCGAGAGGTGAAAGACGTGGCCGAGTTTCTGTATCAAGTCCTCCTAGACAGTATGGGTCTGAAGAACACACCATCATTCTTAATAGCCTGCAACAAGCAAGGTGCCAGCATGTTTCCTGGCAGTCACAGTGGGGGGATTGCTACGAAGAGTTAGTTAGCACCTACTTGTCATTATTGAGGATGGACTTAGTTCATTATAGAATGATAATTTGAAGGATTTTCTGAAAATATTTTTGTTCCTACCTTTTCACTAGTCTTAAGGATTCACGAGAAATTGCTACAGCACTTTTTATTTATTTTTTTTTAAAGTTTATAAATTATTTTACTTTTCAAAATTGAGTTTGCCAGGGACTAGGAAGATAGCTCAGTGGCATAAGCGCCTGCCTAGCAAGCGCAATATTGTTAGTTCAATCTCTGGGACTAAAAGAAAAAAAAAAAAAAGGAAGAGTGGACAGTAGATCATATCAGATACACAGTTGGGGAGTAAAAGGATGGAGTCTCTCCTTGCACACAAGTTTACCATTCAGCAAATTTCAACAAGGGGAGTTTGATGGCCTTTAACCTGATTACCACTGAGAAGTTGTAAGTCCTACCCAATTAAATGGGTTCCAGTTCTATTACCAGTAAGCGAAATAGACTAGTTTCTTGTCTCTTTCATATCTAAATTTCTGATTCTGTGAAAAGCTCACATCATTTATAAGAATTGATCAGATAATTATACCTAATCAGGAATACTACTTGTTACTATCATTAGGAACTTGCTGTTTTTCTTACTTAGTATAAGAAGGTAGTTAATGTTTATTGGGTCTGGGCTTTTTGCAGATGAGGCTTATTTCTTAGCAGTGGTATACTTGACCATGTCGTGTCCTCTCAGTTATCAGCTGGAGGCATGCTGCGGTTACTTTAAAAGCACAGGCAGGGTATGGTCTATTGGAGTCAAAGTTCGTATTACAGTCACAGCTAGAAGTAGGTTTCTTTACTGGGTTATATATACATTTTTGAATTGAAAGGTGTGTAGGGCATGGACAACCTGCTTAAAGATATGAGCACAAGTTTATAAGCATTATTTTGGGAAAACTTGTATGTTCAAATAAAAATTTAATGTAGAAAGAAATACTGATAAAAACTGTTTTTGAAAAGGAATAGGAAGAAACTTGTTTGTTTAAATCATAATGTTGGAGGGCTGGGTACCAGGGGATCAAACAGGACCTTGTTCTTGTCAGGCAGGCTCTGTGCTGCTGAGCTGAATAGTAAACTATAATAATAGTAATTTTCTCTCTGTACAAGCAGTCTTGCAATAACTTACTTCAGTTTAAATTAAAACATTTTTCTTTCTTTATAGATATCACAATGGCAAAATCAGCAAAGTTAATTCAGCAGCAACTTGAGAAAGAACTGTAAGTATGAGTGGAGACCCTTTGGATAAATATGTTTTAACACTCAGACTCTAAGCATGATATTTGTATTTCTTTTGTTGTATATGAGTATCACAATCATAGTCTGAAAACTAGTGTGAAATATACTTATTAAATAATTAAAAGAGTTAATGGCATTATAACAAGCATTAATAGATATTTCAATATTTAATATTTTAACTTGCAGATATTTTAAAATTTCATGGAAAGCTTTATTGAAACCATTGGCTCAATTTATTTGACCACTGTTAAATGATTTATAATTGGAAGGTTTTAGAAATTAGATTGAAAACATTATTTCTATGAATACAACTGTGCATCACTCTAATGAATGTGAAATGTTTAATGATGCATAGAAAAATAATTACATAAAAATAAAATCCCAAGATCAAGAAAAACGTTAAAGAATTTTAAAACCATTACAAATTATTATTGTGAGAATAAGAAAAGAACACTTGGGAAGATATAAAAATCTGTGATATTCTTATATAGCTTCTTATATTACATTAAAGCTATTTGATAGTTTTTTTTTTTTTTTTTTCCCCCTGTATTCAGGACAGGGTCCACAGGGTCTCCCTATGTAGATCGGGCTCTGTAGTGCTCCTCCTGTTTTCAGTCTCCCAAGTGCTGGGATTACATTGCGCACCACCATGCCCAGTCTCAATCGCCATCTCAACGGGGCCGGCATGGCACACCAGGGATTGAGCCCTGGCCGCTGCGTTGTGCCTAAGCAGGTGCTTTAGTCCACTGAGCTATCAGGCCGGCCCTTGATAGTATTGCTTATCCTCCTTTATTTTATTTTATTTTTTAATAATTTTATTGAGAAACAAATAGCAATGAGATAGTTTCAAAACCAATTAGTAGGACAGTTTCAGTATTTAATACATTGCATATTGTTGTCTTCATAGTGGTTATTCATAGTACAAGCTGCAGACATGATATATTGTCCAAACACTATTAGTACAATTTTTTTTTCTCATTGAATTAAGAGAAAGTAGCTGTATATCTATCCTATTTTGTATATACAGATACAAAATGGTCCTTCATTCCTGCTTTATTTTTTTACAAATTGTAAGTTGAACTGTAAGGTATTGAATTTTAAGGCATCCAACATGTCCTTTATGCCATTTTGATAAGAACTAGTCAAAAACTTGAGTGTAGACAGAAGAAATCATTGGCATTATAAAAAAGCAAATTATCTTTTCATACTACTTTTGTGTAAGGATTTTTTTTTCCCTAAAGCAAAGGATCCAATGAAGAAGATAGTATACACATTCAGCTTTTATTTATTTTTGTATTTTTTTTAGGGAAGGGTCTACAGGGTGTTCAGGGTCCACTACTAGATCAGACTCATAGTGATCCACCTATTTACACCCTCCCAAGAGCTAGGATTACAGGCAAGTGCCACCAATCCCAGTCTCAATTGCCCTCTCAGTGTGCCAGGGCCGGCATGCAGGCCCAGGAATCAAACCCCTGGCTCTTGTGCCTGTTTGCAGGCACTTTAATCCACTGAGCTATTTGGCTAGCCCTTCTCAGCTTTTAAAACATTTCCCCTGATCCTTTAACACCTGATGGTGTATCTGGTACTGCCAGGCTTGTGCTCTGAGGGGATTGTGGTGCAGCTTCTGAGCTCAGCATAGTCTGGTAGGATCTAGTTGACTTGGGCCAGGGGAAGATTTCCACCCAGGCCTGCAAGCTAAGTAGTTTGACATTTTGAAAGACAGGTTAGAAAAAGCAGCAGCAAACATGCAAGGGACCTAGTGTGGCCCAGAAAGCTGAAGATCCTGTATTTCCAGTTCTTTAGAGAACAGTTCTCAAGGTTCCTGTCCCTTCCAACATTGTCTGTGTGTTACCTTCTCCTAAAGCTCCTGCTTGAGACCTTGTACATCACTTGCTATTAGGCAGACAGCATGGGAGTGCTTTATTTTGTAGAAAAACCCATTCTACTCTGCTCCTTGGGAACAGAAAGGGTCAGCAGGCTTGATGCTTATGCATTTGTATGAAGGCCAGCAGGGGGCAGAAGGCAACATGAACTGGGAAAGTTGCCGTGGTACAGTGTGGAGAAGAATAATTATGCCAAATTAGGTAAGAGTCTGAAGCTTGTGGATTTGTAAGCAGCATATCCAAATGAACTAAAGGTAAAAATATACAATCCATTTTTTCAGAAATTTAATTTTTTTAACACAGCTATATATTTTAAAATGGCATCATTCATGGGGCCCTGGGCTCAATGTGGCTTGTGTCCACTGCTGCCCTGTTGTCCTGTGGCTAAGGTTGGACCCACATCTGGTTATGTACATGCTTACTCAGTAACTTTATTTGCATAATTGACTGTTTTATGATTAGGAACTAATGTGATTTAATTGCTGGATAAAATTTGCTTCCTGACTTGTTTTCCTTCTGTCCCACAGCAACACCTTACGAGTTACCCGCTCTGCTGCGCCCAGCACACTGGACAGTTCCAGCACTGTCCCTGCTCATCTAGGAAAGAAAGGCAAAGAGTTTGAATTCTCACAGCTGCCCGTCAAAGTGGAGTTCCTCGAGTGCAGTGCCAAGGGTGGGAGAGGGGATGGAGGTTCTGCCGACGTCCAGGACCTGGAGAAATGGCTGGCTAAAATTGCCTGAGGGGCAGGTCCCGAGCACAGGCCGTAGCTGCGCGTGACTGGCAGTACTGGAAAATGTGTAGTAGTCTGGAGTTGATAAAGGGTACAAAATTTAGTTAGGAGTGTTCCCTTGTTCTAGAAACAAATGACTGTTCATACTGGCTTGGCAGTTTTAAGTTCCTGTCATTGTTCCCTTTTAAACATTCATTTTGATGCGACTCTCGGATTGTGTCCTTTAGCCTGTGCTTGATTTAAGGTCAAGGTCTTTGTGACATAACAAGCAGACTCCACATAGAGGATACTGTTGAGACATGTGTTTATCATCTAAAAAGTTTTCTTATCCTTGGCTTTGTGCTTTGGTCTCTTTGCTGGAAATAAACCATCTGTTTATGGAGGTAGTTGATCTCCAGTTACCCCTTCCGTTCCGGGGCAATATATTGTCTAATAAGTGAATTCTTAGGTTTATAGATAATTTTCCCAATTGTGAAAACCGGTATAAAAGAACATGGCGGAGTTGGCAGGGGTGGTTGATCCGCTCACTGTCTTGTCCGTGCTGCAGCCTCAGCGGCATGTCTAAAGGCTGGATGGGAGCCCTTGGTGGTGTGGGATTCCTGGCTGATAGGAACATACATACTAAATCCCCACGACTCGTGGCTGGTGGTTCGCTGCGGGGTGTGGGAGCGCTGAATATGCCTTGGTGTCTGTGGATGGCCTAGGGCTTGTGGCATTCCATTTGCTGCCCAGTCAGCTTGTTTTGTACCCTGAACTAGAATGCTGTGGAACAAAAAATGTAAAAAGGGTTTTTGTAGATTCTGGGGTTCTGTATTCATGCTTTTGAAAAAGTGATGTTCTCTCTTAAATATCTGGCTTTTTTTATTGCCTTTGTAAGTGGTTAATACTTTGCTTGATAAATAAAAAAGGCTTTTGGTTTTTGAGACAGGATCTCAGCGTGCATCTCAGGCCGGCCTCAAATTTGTGTCGATTATCCTGCGTCAGCCTTCAAAGTGCCACCACGCCTGGCTTAGAGTGTGTGCTAGTGTTCACCACAGTGTCATGTTCACAGCCAGATCTTGGGAACCTCAGAAGTATTTCTTTAGCCTGGCAAAGGCCAAGGCCAGTGAGCAGCTGTGTCAGCTTCTTGCCAGTGAGATCCTCGCTCCCGTGGCAGTGTGAAGGCCTGTTCTCCACAACACTGCACTTGTGGAAGGACTGCTTGTCCTGCAGCAGCTTTGTTCTGGCCCAGGAAGCGTCTACTCAGGCTTTCACCCCTGTGCCTGCTCTCTCACAGTTTATACAGAAAAGAAGGCTTACTGGGCAAGGACATTATTTCCTCTCTTTTCTAGTTAGAAATAACCTCTTTGAGGTAGCAGGTTGGAGGGGGTTCTAGAATCTTTAGACCCTTCAGTAGAGATGTAGCTGGTAATCTAAAGAAGAATAAGATTTCCAGCATCCACAGGCCAGAGTGATGTGTGTCTGATCTTGGTATCTGAATCTTCTTGGGAAGTGACCCCAGAACTAGAGTAGTTATCAGGCTTCCTTCTAGCTGAGAACTGGGGCCTCAGGAATGTTGCTTCAGTGGTGTGGGGGGTGGCTGGGTGATGTCATCTGAAAGGTGACAATGCTTCCCCTTAAGTTCTTGCCTTTCAGTGCTATCTAGAAATCAGAACAAGCAATCCAGCTGCATCCAGCCTTCATAAGCCTGGCTGTGGCAAGTGAGAATGGGAATGACACCAGGGTCCTCCTTCTGCCTGGTCTCCCCTCCCCCAGCCTTTGCGCAGCTGACATTCCAGGAGTGTGAGTGGATGTAATCTCTTTAGTGTGTCCCACCTTACCGTTCAGAGTTGGTGGAGGCCCAGGTGGGCAGAGGATGCAAAGCGTTGTGCTACCCAGACACCAGAGAGGGTCTGTGCAGCACACATACGAAGAAACTTTTTGAACAACCCCCTTCCCCATATGTTTGCACCACTTAGAAATATCAGATGAGACAGGCTTTGTGTTGAGAATTAGGACAGTTTATTGTTTGACCAACATGCTGAGTCTTTTCCACATTTTACACAGTTTAATGTAAAGTCAACATGGCCAGTACACCCTCTGAGCCCGTACGAGATGGAAGTGCCACCCTCTGTGCTCCTTACAGCCAGTCACTTCCCAGAGATGAGTGAGGGGAAAAGTGAGGGGGAGTGCACACACACCACAGGGTGCGGCCAGTCCTCAGTGCTGAGGAGGCCTACTTCCTGAAGGGACACCGAACTCCTGCTGCAGGGTGTTCCTGATAGACTGTGTCCAGCTGGGAGTGTCAACCAAACAGGTTTGAAGCCCAGGAAGTTTGGATATGGAGATTCCTAGATTTGGGAATACTTCCAATAGCTGGTTTCAAATAAATTCTAAGGGTATCCTGATGTGTGTGGTGCCTAAGACAACCAAAGCAGACTTGGGGACCCAAAGTGGACCTGTATTCTCTCCTAGCTCACTGGCAACATGTCAGGAAGAAGCTTCTGTCCTGACCACGTTAGAGATGGCCTGAGGGACTCCCTCTCTCTCTCTCACACACACACAGAGCAGTCATTTATACGTCAGTATGCAGTGTCTGTACACCGGTCAGCAGTGGACAAAGAATGCCACCACCCTGCTTCCTGGGCACTCCCAACACAAGTCACTGCTGCGGTTCTCACCTGTGAGACAGGAAGGTATGGGATCTCCATCTCATTCTGGCAAGGGATGCTGCCTCACATTCTCTGGGGAGAGGTAGTTTGGAAACTAGCAAGCATACAACCCAGAGGGCTGCTGCACATGGGCATATTCCTGTCAGGCTGCCCCTCACATTGCTAACTGATTTCACAGGTGTTGGCCTCCTGGTCTCCTGACATCTTCCCTTGCCTTCTACCTTGTGAAGGAAGGAGACTACTCTATCTGCAGGATTCCAGAGCCAGCAGGGCCAACCCTTTATTGTGACAACTATACTGGGGGACTGACGCTGGCTAGCGAGTGGCTGACAGTGGCTGCGTCCCAATGTGTCTACCTCCTGCTTCCACCTTTCAGTCCTCATTTCTGTTGGCCCCCACACATGAACTCATCTGCCCACTGCTTCCCTCAGCAACACTGCAGAAAAATGTTTAAGGAGGGTGATGGGAAGAGGTTGGCAACAGAGACAGCACTGAGGCCTGTGGCCAAGGGAGAAACACTGCCTCTGCCACCAGGTAGGCTGACCTTGGACCAGACAGCTGTAGCTACAGCATACTGGTTACCAAAGTCACCCTTTCCTTTTGGCGCGTGTGTGTCTTTGTAAACGTGCTACCTGCCTTTCCAACCTCCACTCATTCTAGTGTGGAACGGGACCTTTACTGACAGCATTGGAGATTCCTAAAGGAAAAGAGTGCCAAGAGGAGAGGATACTGCTTATTTGCAAGGTCAGGTCTAGTCTTCGGGGAGAGGGACTGAATGACTAAATTGAGATCATGTCCAGAAAGAACTCCACACTGCTGCCTACTAACCCATGTGAACTCAGCAGAGGCAAGCCTCCTGCTGAGGATGTGGAGGCAACTTCATGACATGTCCAAGAAAGCTGACAGTTACTAAACCTTAACTAAGAGTCAAGGCCCTACCTACAAGCAAGTGAAAGACATCTGTTTGGTTGCCTTAAGACTCCAGGAAGAGAAGGATGGCAGTCAGGCCTAGGAGAGGAAGGCTCTGGAATGGCAGGGCTCCATGGGGCAGGAAGACAAGAGCAGGCCGTATGCTGACCTGCTTAGGCTACAGGGCTTGGAAGAGCCTGTGCTCGAGGGAGGATGTTGTGTGCAGGCTGGGAGGAGCAAGACTCACTAAGGCCACGTCAAGCCACACATCTGCATCTCCTACCACTCCCTAGGCCACGATGGAAAGAGACCACAGTGCCTTGGACTGTGCATATTTGAGAAGGGTATGGAGTTTCTATCTTGTTTTAAGAAGAGCTACTCTCCAGTCTAAGAAAATTAAAATCTACCATACATTCATTCACTACGACACAGTGCAGATCCCTGTCCCCAGGGCTGTCCCAGAGGCCCTAAGTGATGGCCCTCACAGCCAACCAGGCCAGACACTATAAAGTGGACTCCCATAAATTCTCACGAGGTAAGTAAACACTCTTCCCACAAGCACCACTTGGGGGTGTGCTCACGGTGGGGTACACTGGCCCACACAGGCAGGCACACCCGTGAATATAAGTACATAGAGAGGTGGTTGGGATACTCCTGCGGGCTATTTTTGCCTGTAATTTTAACACATCTATGCATTACTTTATTGATGGCAAGACAATCACAAATTATTTGACAATATTGAGTATTTCTTATTTCAACACATTGCAGTACTTTTGAATTTCCAAAACTTTTCACAATGCAAGTACCAACTTGAGAGCAGGAAAGACAAGAATATACAGTGAGCATATGTATCTCTGTGTGAAGATGTGTTTGTGGGAGGTGTATACACAAGTCTATCTCTATATATAATTATGTACACACATATAAAAACTAAACACATGACATTTAAGTTATGCTTGTACATTGGTCCTTGCCTTCCAGGGGAGGTGCCAGGTGGATTCCTGCTGCTTCTCCTGTCCACCAGAAGACAAATTCCTCTCTAGAGATCAGCTCTGACACCATCTCCCAGGCTGACGGCATGTGGCAAGCCTATTGCGCAAACTAGCTCTGCCACTTACTGGCTGCCATTTTAGACTATCTTTTCAGAAGTTCCAAAATTCATTCTTGCCTTCCTACAATCTTGTTGGAATTTTGCCTTGTGGAGGAATTCATCCTACACGCCTCAGAAGCTACTGTAGTTCACCTATTCCATGCCCTTGGCAGCCTGAAGGAAGAACCAAGGCCAGTTGGGCAGGAGGGGGTTATGTTTTTGGTCAGTCCCAGCCTCCTGGCAGACTCTCTACAGGCCTAGGGGTAGAGTCTGGGTCAATTTGGAATGTTGGCCGAGTTATATTATGCAGAAGAGAAGGTTCTCTTCAGGGATTTTACAGGTTCTCAGGATTAAACCCTTCTGTTTAAAGAGCTGATGGGGCAAGGTGGGCTCTGGGGAGGAAGCCCAGTACTCTGTGCAGCCTTCTGGAAACCCCACTTTAGCTCCACTTTCAGGTGCCCACAGTGCTGCCACAGTAGCCACAAATGTACACACATAATGACTTCAACTGCACCGTGCCCATGGCTGGAAACATCAAGAAGCTGCGTGTGCTCTTTCCAGAACACTATTCAGTAGTAGCAACCACAAATCTGAGATCATGTGTCTTTTAAAACGGCAGCTCTGCAGACCATCCTCTCCTCCCTAGCCACTGAGGGGCCAATGGCATGTGGTACAGGCTCCAGCATCCCTGACATGCCAGGTCAAAGACTGCAGGGTGACATTCTGCCCAGTGTCATACACTGAATTTCTGAGAGTCAAACTAGCTGTGTGTGCTGACCATTGGGCAGGTTGGCTGAACATCTTGGAACTACATGAGGTACCCCAGTCTATAAGCCACACATCACCACAGCCTGCAGTTGCCAACAGCACCCCATCCTTCCTACGATCCCCTGCTCTGCTGGTCACTGGGCAGGCACACAGGGGGCCTATGCCTTCCACTCCCTTCATGGCTTTTTTTTTGGGGGGGGTGAAGGGGAGGCACACACAGTCCCCCAGGAGCCTGCTGTGGGCACCCTACAGTTTGCAAGGCCTCTGTTTCAGCTCAGAGTCCTGCTAATGCCAATGTCCCACACTGCCCGTGGAAGGCCTGAGTGGTACTACCTCTCTCGAGGCTGTTCTATTTAACCAATATTTGATTTAGTCATTCATGGGCCTGGATGGTGGGGCCTGGTTGATCTTGGCTGATGGTCTGGAGCCTAATTATGTTGCTCAGTTAATTGCTTTAATTTATTGGGCTGGGATGGGAGGAAGGCAGAGGCAATGAACAGTTCAAAGAGAACAGGAAGGAGGGGGTGTGTGGAAAAGGTTCTCTATAAGTTTACAAATATACAAAAACAAAAGAGCACATCTTTCAAATAAAAATGACTACATTTGTATCTGGCAAAAAGTTGTATACACATGATTTAAATTTTTTTTTTAAATTTTAACAGTTTTTGGCAATCTTAATAAAGTACAATATATTACAACCAAACCAAAAAATAGTTGTTTAAGTAACAGCTGTTAAGAGTGATGTGATCCCTGATGCCCAGCCTCCCTCCCTACCCCACCCTACTCCTAGACAGAGAGAAAAGAAAAATCCTCCCATCCTGGTAAACTTGTTTCCCACCCCCATTAGGAAGCTAACCAATAGGAAGCAACACAACAAGCGAGTAGTGTGTAGGAAGCCACGGGTCTGGCTCTGCATTAGCAGGAGCAGCCGCCCTCGCTGGCTGGGGGCTCCTGGGGCTTGTCCAGCTTGATGTCGATCACTGTGGAAGGTGAGCTAAGGAAGATGACTCAGAGAGGCTGCCAAGTACCTCATGCCCAGCCCATGACCCCTTAATTGCTTCTCTGTCCCTCTGCAGACATTCGGCTCTTTGGGGGGCTGGTGCAGGAAGGATGTGGTCACCAGCTCCTGCTCTTCTCTTCTTCCCCCATATACCTGGCATTACACAGCCCTATCCACCCCAAGCAAAGCTTATCTTGCTTGGCTGTGGCACAGCCTCACGGACACACAGCCAGAGAGCCCCCAACTCAGGAGCCTTCCCTGGTGACCAGAGCTCAAGGGCCAGAGCACAGTCACAGCCTCAACTCTATTGCCCCAAAGTCCACTGGACGGCAAGCGTCCAGCAGGTCAGGTGTGGGTGCCCCCATCTCAAAGCACAGGGGAAGGGGAGCCTTGCCCTGGCTGGCAGCAGGAACATCAGCCCTCGAGCTCCTATCAGCACATGCCACTTACTCCTGAGCATGGCAGCCGTGAGGGGCCGTGTCAATGGTGCCAAAACAACTCTCTCCAGGCTTTTCCACCAGCAGCCTTGGGGACTATGGGAATAAATTCAAAACGCACAGCCAGAATACTCCATCTCCTCACCAGGCTGAAAGCCCAGGCTGAGATTTAGTTTTGCACTGAGGCACCTTCTAACTCGAGGACTAAACTCTTGGGTACTGCACAAAATCACTTTCTGTGCTGGGCTCTGGTGCCGATGTAGGATCTGCACTGGATGGGGTGGGATGGTATAATAGGCCTGCTATTAAGACCTGCTGTTGACGTATCAGGGATATTGTGGTGTTCCCTTTATGAGCATAGAGATTATTTTGGCTTGAAATAACATGTGTCTCCTGAAATCTACATGGTCCCTCCTTGCCTTAGCTGTTAAGCTTAAAACCAGAATTCTGGCCATCTCTAAAATCTTACTTGGAAGGGTTTGTATTTGGGGTATAGCTTTTGTTCTTCTTGTGTGTGTCTATATACAGAGACAAAATGTATGTATGTATGTATACATACATACACACATTCTGGTTTTTTAAATTTTTATTTTATTTATTTTTTTATAGTACCGGAGATCAAACTCAGAACCTTGCGCTTACCAGGCAGGTGCTCACGCCTCTGAGCTATCTGCCCATCTCACACACATACTTTTATACCATGGTAAATACGTAACAAACGACTGCCTTCCTTGCCACGTCCCCCTACAGCCCAGCTTGGCCTGCTCTACTCTAGTCAATGGTTCTACTTCTCCCTCCGTAAGTGTTTTTGTAAACATAATGCCCAGAGCGCCTTGTGACTGTTCTCTGCCAGCTGCGTCAGTGGTCCCCAAGGCCCCAGTAGGCTCACTCCCTGACTGTACTTCCAGGCTGGGCACAGGCCTCTCTGGAGCCTCCGGGTCTTCTCCAGGTGCCCCTCTGAGCCAACCCAGCCCTCTTAGCACAGTGGCTTCCCCAAACCAACTCTGGTGGCACAGTGTCATAATCTGGTACAGATATACCACACCCACAGATTTCTCATTCTGGCACTTAAGCCTTCCCAAGGCTGGTCAACTCTGGCTCATGCGGTCGCCTTGAGGCTCCAGCCACTGGATCTTCCCCTCCTTGCAAATACACTCTCTGCTTTTCTCCATTCCCTGCAGATGCTGTCCCCTCCCCCACACCCAGGCTCCCTCCCTCGCTCCACTTAATAACACTTGTCCTTGACTTTGGGTCAGTGCCGTGTAAGTCACGGCCCTCCGTGCTGGCACTGCACGGAGCCCTGCAGATGTGTCACTGCACTGCAATGGACCTTGTGGGGTGGCAAGTCAAACTTGCATTGTCCAGAAAGGAGGCTGAGCAGGCTGGGTACAAACACAAAGCCATCTAAGCCCAGAGTTAGGGTTTCAATTCACTGGGGCTGGGGATCAATCCCACACCTTGGACCCTTGAAAATGGAAGGATTCACATAGGCTAATGACGTTCTCTACCACGGTGCTACACTCCCAGGCTGGAGTTAAGTTCTTAAACGACACGGCCATGCTACATCCCTTTTGTGCTGGCTTCTCGACCTCAGCAGTACTGACATCTTGTGCCAGCGAGTTCCTCGTCGTGAGGGCTGTGCTGTGCAGTAAGCTCTTAAGGAGCACCCAGCACCTACCCTTAGATTCCAAAGCACTTGTTCCCCTCTCCCAAACTTAGGACAATCAAAAATGTCTGCAGAGGTTGCCCAATGTCCTCTGCAGGACACTACCAGGAGCCACTATCAGCAGTGGTTGAGAACCACTGGTCCAGATTAAGGTCTGGGAACTGTTACAGCACTGCAAAATTCTGCCCGATATGGAAGTTACCTGTCATTAAAAATAAATCATCGCATGTACAATCTGACCCAGGGTACTCTTGTATGCTATACAACCCTTTGAGACTACATCAAAAAAAATTTCCTATGGAACTAGTTAAAAATACCTTTTCCTAGGCCCTGCCTTAGTAGATCTGAGGGATGGGCCCAAGACATGTATTTTTGATCAGTTGTTTCTTTAGAGTCCTAATACACAGGTACTTGGAAAAGAATCTACATATACTTATGTAGAACAGTACTGTCCAGAAGAACTTTCTGCAATTATGAAAATATTTTGTAACTCCACTGTCCAGCATGGTAGCCTTCAGCAACATGAGCAACTGAGTGCTTGAAATTTGGGTGCTGCAGGTGGAGAACGGATTTTTGAATGGAATCCAATTTTACCTGATTTAAAACACTGGCTGTAGTCTTGGAGTACACAGGTTTAGATCACTTATCAGGAGCTTTCATCCGTACTCTATCATGTAATGTCACGTCTTTCTTTATAATGTCACAAACCACGGACTGACAGTGCTCAAGGGTGATAGTAAAGAATGAGGATGAACAAAGTGCACTCAGTCTCAAATTCCTCAGAGGAGAAAGCCCACTGCGGATTCTCCCACAGGCCTTGAGGGGCTTACTATGTGGCTTTCCTTGGGGCGGCACAGAGTGAGCCAGCCTTGTCTCTCTGGCCCACAGACAACACTCAGGGCCTACTGCTTCTTCCTTTTGGCTTCTGAAATAATGAATGAGCCCAGACAGGTGGTTGTGATCTTGCCCAAATGGCTGTGCATGCCAGCAGCTCGACTCTGCTGTGAGCACAATCCTCTCTGTCTGGAACATCAAAGTAGCCCAGCTCACTGGCAGAGTTCAATGGCTGCAGGACACAGATACTTGGCTGTGGTCCCAGCTCTGTCAACTGAACCGAGCATGCTCTCATGCCTTGGGCATGCTCTTCCTAATGATGTGTGGGGCATCCCTGTCTTTTTTCCTTAGGGCCATTTCATGCTTGCCCAAGTTCTTCCTTTGCATATGCTGGCCCTGCTCAGAAAGAGCCCAGGGCTCACGCCACAGAGGCATACTGCTTGGGCAGAAATCAGGAGAGCGGCCTTGTGTGTGCAGATCCAGCAAAGAGCCTTAGCTCTACCATTCTGTCACCCCTCAGTGCCTTCCTCCACCCCATTGTTTTGAGAGCGCAGACAACAAGGAGGCAGTGGTTGCGGGACAGAAAGGCTGGCTGCTGTCCCTGAGGAGGCCTGCTGTCTTGGGTGTGGAGATGGGGTACAACAGCCCTGCACCTGCGCTGCAAGCAAAGGACAGAAACTCCAAGCTCACACACTTGCCAGGCCTTTGGCAGAGTGGATATGGCCAAATGTGAACTTCTCACACACCCAAGATCGTGTGTGGTTGGTCCCGACATTGAACACAATTCCAGACATAGCTCCAAAGTACTGTACATATCTTCAAAACATCGGTTTGAACCACCCATACACAGAAACACTGGCCCACCATTCTGGCTAAACCACACTGGCTGCTCCCTCTACCTGATAACTTTAGGGATCTGTTCAAGGCTGGTCCAGCCCATCTTATAGAAGGCCCAGCCAGTGGGCTTCTGGAGAGTGTGAGGGAAAGCTGGGTCTGCCAGATGGGGGTATCCTGTAGCTGAGAAAAGGGACAGATGAGCTTATCCTTGTCATCTGTTTACTATGTGTCCTCTATACGGTTCTCCCCAGGGGCCCACAGGTCACCCACAGATGGTTGACATGCTAGAAACACTGTGACAAAGATGTGTTAGGTGTCACCCTGGGTGGAGAGCCCATCTGACATGGCCGAGCCTTTGGGAGAATGGGGATGAAATGGTCACCACCCTCCCCCAGTCAGTGGGCCACACCTTTGCAGTGGGCAGGATGACAGGCTATCTGCAACCTTTCTCCCTCTGGCAGGTGTGCAGGGAACACCTACACCTTGATCCACCCTCCTTGGTGCTGCTCTAGTTATAGTCCTGTGGACTGCCTTTTATATGTTCCCAGCACCTCAAAGAAGGTGTGACAGGTGACACCCGGGGTCTCTCTTCCAAGGTGTAGTATCCAGCGCTTCGGCAGAGAGCTTTGAGGGGTCCCTGACAGCCTCCAAGCCTTTTGCTCCACCTGTACCCTTGGGGTCTCATGACCAAGCAACCAGGAGACAGTCTTCTTGCTCAGTCCCCTCAGCCATCTCTCCTGGGGGGGGGCACACCAACCACTGTTTAACCTCTGGGGACTGCTGGAGAACCTGTTCTTTGGGACCTCAGTACGTGCCAAGGCTCCCAGTGTCCCAACCCTACCCCCCACTCTGGCATGGGCCATATCAGGCAGAGGGGAGGGATAAGTGTGGCCAGGATGTCATTTCCTTTTGGCTTCCAATATCAACTACTTGTTTCAACCCTTATTAGCCTGAAGTTGCCCTGTGACTTCTGGGCCCGTTCTCTGATTTGCTGTACATATTGCCCTCAGAGACCTAAGAATGAGTGGAGATGCTGGGAAGCTGCTGTGTAAGGGCCAGTCCCATTCTGAGGGTGCCAGCTGGGGACTGAGTGCTCAGTCTCAGGGCCTTCCTCAGGCAGGGACTCTGACTAGGTGCAAGCTGAGCAGCTCTCATCCCGGCCTCTCAGATGCCTTTGAGGAGCAGTTTGCCCAGACAGGATTAGGCTGGATGAAGAAGCAGGCCCAAGTAGGAATCCTAACTGGTCCACTGACCTGCTGTAGGGCACTAGGCCCATCGGGCAACATCTGTGAACCTCAGTTTCAGCACACAAGTGTGGGCTCAGCTTCAGGCTCCACAGAGCAGTGAGGAGACAGGGCTGTGCAGGGTGGGGCACAGGAGGCAGGCAGGATATGAGAGGGGTATTAACTTGGGGAGTCATTGTGTATAGACCAAGATGTAGCACAGCCACATCTTCGGTGCTCAGAGGCCTTCCCCGAGTGGAGAGCTGACCTTTTCTCATGCCAAGTTCAGGCTATTCACTAGAGAGGTGGAGTTGCTACTTTTCCCTCCGTGCTCTATACCACCCCACCATGCACTCCCCTGGCTGTGACTCGGCACTGAAAGGAAGAGAACTCGATGGCTAGAGCTGGACAGGGCCGCAAGACGGCCCAGCTCTAACACTAAGTGTGAATAAAATGCTTCCTGCACGTTTTACACTCATGTGACAGAGGCAAAGGATACTCCCTTCTTTGCTTTTCTCCTGGACATTCTCCATGCCGGGCAGAGCTGATGCCACGCGTCTGAAGAGCTGCCAAGACGGGGGAGATGCAGGGTGAGCCTAGCCCTGGGCCTACCCTCTGACAGGCCCCGTCTCCACCCTCTCAGCTGCCCGGTCTACTCACCACTGACTGGGCCCTCATAGGCAGGGCTGTTCATAAACTCTCTGCTACCCCACCACAATCTGTGCCTGTCACAGAGCAGGGCTCAGTATACAGACAGAGAACAAAGCCCCTGCTCCTCACCTAATGGACCTAATGCACACCAGGGACCTATTCTGGTGGGAAGACTGATCCAGGCCCTGTGTTCAGGCTCCTTATCTGGGCTTTTGCTGCTGCCCTCATGGGGACTGGGTTGAGGAAGCAAACCTGGACCTTCCTTGGGGACACAGCTCTCCTCGTAGAGTCATATGGTCAGCAGGCACCAAGGCAGGGGACAAGGGGAGCCAGGGCCATCATCAAATGAGGTATGTGGGAGTGTGGACATGACATCATGGGGCTGTGTGGATGATGTGCATATTGTATGTGTGTGTAGAACGTATGCGTGCTGTGATGCACAAATGCATATGAGGAGCGGTGTGTGAGTGTGGGTGTGAACAGGTGGTGTGTTTTGTGGGTCTGTGTAGTGGAGGACATGTGTACGTGGTACATGGTATGGATGAGTGAATTTTCTATGTCCATAAGTCTGTAAACGTGGATGTGCTGGGTGAGGGTGTGCTGCAGGGATGAGCCTAGTAGGGGAGGTACTGACAGAGATGTAATCTTGGAGGTAACCAGCACAAGGCACCAAGGACCCCAAAACTCTAAGGTCTGAATATTTGCCTTCTCCAAAATTCACCTGCTGCAATCTGTGACAGCCTTATAGATGAGACCATTAGGAGAAGGCTGGTCCTCAGAGCACAGCACTGGTGAATGGGATTAATGTCCTTATGGAGGAAGCCTGAGGGAGCCTGTCTGTCCCTTCCATGTGATCGTGGAAGGTACCATCTACCAGAACACATGACCCCACCAGACACTGCCACCACACTGACCTGAAACTTCCCAGCCCCGAGAACTATGAGAAATAAGTTTCTGTTGTTTCTAAGCCATAGTGTCTATGGTCGCTTATTATAGCTGCGCAAATGGACAAATAAGTGAGTACTGTCTCTTCCTCCATAAATTTCAACTACAAGAACTCAGTGGGTGCTGGGCTTAGATCCACTGCATTAGCTCCCTGAGGACAAGGGGAGACTGACTCTGGGCCTTACCTCAGGGCCCCGCCTTCTCTGAGCACTTGGCTGGGTGACAAGGCTAAGGGCGGCCAGGGCCCAGGTGAGGAAGCTGCTACAGAGCCCAGCAGAGGCTGGGACCCTCGAGGCAAGCTGCCTGGGCTCCAGAGCTTTCTGGGATTAAATCAGAGGAGGCCGCATGTGTGTGGCAGGGCAGATGTTCCCTGCTCTGCGGACCACCTGGGTCTACCCTCCACTTCCCACAACCTTCCCTCAGTGCCCCGAAGAGCAGCAAGCCCTGCCCCTCTTGCACGCCTCCAGGAGACACTGCTGCAGACTCAGACTCACGCCTGACCCTCGCCGGAGCTGGCAGAGAGAGACGGAGCTGTGTGGAGAGGGCATTCCAACGGGACAGAGGAGGCTGAGTGCCGGAAGGCCTGCAGTCTCCATGTCACCCGTGCCCTCCGACTCTGTCCCTTCCCGCTGCCCTGCCACTCCTCCTTTTCCACTGCCACGAGCACCATCCTCTTGGGGTGAACCAGCACTGTATCCACATGTTCCTGGAAGTGCTGGTGCCAGGGGTGGCAAGAACTCTGCACCAGGTGACGCTCCTCACCCAGTCCCAGGGACGCGCACAGCACCTGACGCAAGCTCTGCTCCCATGCCCAGAACACCTCCCTTCTTGCCACCTCCCCAAGGCCTCCTCACTATCAAAGCTGGGCCACCTTCAACCCTTCGACAGTCTGGGGACACTAAGAGTGTCCTTTTAATGTGTGGAATCAATGACATGGGATTCTGAAGAAACCCACTTGGTGCCGAATTAAACTTCCAAATATTTAAAGATGCAAATGTGTGACAGAGCGGCAGCTGGCCTTCCTGAGGAGCACTGAACAGCAAGAGCCAGCAGTAGGTCTGGCGTCTGGGGCGCTACCAAGGTGGTGATGCACAGGAAGTGCATCCTGCTATGACAGGAGGCAGCAAGGAAACACTGTGACTTCTGTCAGCCAGAAAGTCACTGATGCTGAGAACTCTCACTGAAGGACATGCTACACATGAGTTATAGGCCAGCAATAGGAAAAGCAGGTTTTGTCCACCCCAAATGGCTCACCTGCTGAATGCCGTCTGGGGGCTCTATGGGGCGTGTGGATCCAGGCTGAGCATGAGCTTCGAGGCTCAGCCTTAAGCCCCACCTGCTCTCCCTCAGGTGAATTCGCCACGGTGGGCTCTTTGCTCCAAGCTCAAGCTGCCTCCATGGTCCCAAGCACTTGCCAAGTCCAAGGCACAAGCCCAGGATGCTGAAGTGATTAACTTCTGCACCTCTCACAAAAGTAAGGCAAGATGCTGGGAGCCACAGCTTCCCTCAGACACACGGGAGTCAGTGTTGGACACTTACATAGCAGCAGCCCAAGACTGTCACTGCTGGGGTGGCCAGTGACTGACACTGTCCTTGTGGCCCCTAAAGGCTGTCCCCTCTTCTCATGTGATTTATATCTCTGGGCATTCGCTCCTTCCCCGCTCTGCAGGTTTATGGGTTCTCTGGTCAGCTGCCCTAACCAAACCCAGGGCAAGCAGGTCCTAACCCATGGTTGACAACACCCAGAAGTCACTGGTGGGCCTCTGTGGCCCAGGCATGCAGAGCCCGCACCTGGTGTGCCCTCACCTGCTTCACATTGTAACCGGTCTTCGCGCTGGTCTCAATGAACATGACACTCAGCTCTTTGGCACGCTGCTCCCCTTCCTCGATGGTTATCTGCCTGGAGATGAGGGAAGAGGGAAATCAGTTCTGCTGAGGAGCCGCCCCTGGCAGAGGCGGAGGAAATAACATGAGAGGAGGATGACTGCTTGGCAGGACAGAGGAAGCCAGCCCTGAGCACAGGCTCAGAGCCTGGGCTCCCTTCCCGAGCTCCAACCAGGTTTCCAGGAAGAACGGGGCAGCAGGCACAGACACCAGCCCTTCCCTGACTCCCTCTACAGGGCCTTCTGTGCTAAGAGGCAGGCCTGGGGCAGGGCGAGGCCACGCCTGCTTTCCCCACAACAGTTACAGCCTGTGGCTGTACACAGCCTCCAGCCAGCCACACACTCTATCTCTGGGTGGTAACAGAAGTCCCCCTTGTCCAATGCAAACACCAAGGTTAAAAGTAACTCCCCCAAGCTGGGCACGGTGCTGCACGCCTGTAATCCCAGCACTCTGGGAGATTGAGGCAGAAGCAGCGCAAATTCAAGCCCAGCCTGGACAATTTACTGATTGAGTAAGATTGTGTCTTAAAATAAAAACACCTAAAAAGGGCTGGGGATGCAGTTCAATGTAGTTGCGCTGAATTCAAAGTACCAAAAAAAAAAAAAAAAAAAAAAAGAAAAAAAGAAAAAAAAAAGAAAGAAAAAAACAAACAAACAAACAAACAAAAACCCCTCCAAAGCCATAACTGGGATTGGAGTCCACTTTCCTCACCTCAAGGGTGAGCATGCTCTGTGTGCTCTATCTACCCAAGTCAGAGTCCAGGAGAAAAGCAGACAAACACTCTAAGAGGTCCTTGCCTGGCTGTGTGTTGGGGGAAGCCTTGGGGAAGGCTCTTCCAAAGGAGTTTCATGCCCAGCACCAAGCCGGGCTGTGCAGGCCACGCATGAGGCAGTGTCCTACAGACATTCCACAGACTCACCCCTGGCACCAGGGTTCCCAGAACCACACACCAGGGCTGTCATTTCAGGGGGCAGGGGTATGAAACACAAGCAGAAGCTCCTGGGAACAGAGTCACTGTGGAGCTGAGACCACGCAGTGCTGGGCTGGGCTGGGCTAGGTTCACTCGGCTCCCTGTAGACTGGTCAGGGCTCTGCTCCCAGGTAGCCGATGACAGGGGGTCTCAGAGCTGAGATACCACAGAGGGTATGGGGTCCCACACAGCGTTCCCACAGCTCCTGTGGATGGTGGCAGGCCAGGAGCACAGACTTGCTACCTATACACCTAGAAATGCTGGCCAGGGGCAGTTACAGAGAAGGCGGGGAGGGGACAACTGGGCCTCACGGCCCTGCACCTCTGTGCCCCAGTGCCTACCTCTTGTCAGCCAGGTCCGTCTTGTTGCCCACCAGCATGATGATGACATCACTGCCCCTCTCTGTCCTGACGTCATCAATCCACTTAGAGGTCTGCTGGAAGGAATTGAGGTCTGGAGGCAGAAAGTGAGGGTTAATTGCGAGTGGGGGCTGGTCCCAGGGACTCAGGAGCAGCAGAGGTAGGGGCGCCTGTGTTCTGTAGCACTGTCCACACAGACCAGGCCTGTGGGGCCTCACAGAGGGGTCAGGGCCTTCTCCCGTAGCCCAGAGAGCCCTCGCACTGCCCAGCTGCCCTTTGGGGGAGGAGGCACTCCACCTGAAAAGTTCCTGTGTCATGATTTCTATCAGGCTAGTGGCTTTAGAGGCCAACAGTCAGACGTGGCTGTGGTGGCTGAGAGCAGGGAGTGAAAAATGAGTGCAGCAGACGTGGCTGAGCTTGGAAACAGTGGGGAAGGAAGCAGGGGCACAGCAGCCCCTGGGGAAGCAGGAGCTCTACAGTGTAGTCTCCCCACAGTAGGGGGTTAGGGGAGTGGCTGCTCTCCTGGGAGGCTGGTGAGGAGCTGGAGGCCAGCTAACAAATCACAGCTGCTCCTGTCTGGGGACTAGTACTAACACACATGTACCCCAGCCAGGGCAATGCAGGGGCAGAGGCTGGAGCCAAACCAGCTTCAGCAACTCACCCCCTGTAATCCCCCAGCACCCACTTTCCTGTTTTGGGGAACATACGTGTGTGCACGCGCACATAGGTCCTGCCTGGCCAGAGATGCACCTGGGCCCTAGATCCCTTGACAGTGACCTTCCTTCAAGCACAGACCCCCATCACTCACTTGTGATGTCGTACACCACCACAGCCACCGTGGAGTCCCGGATATAGCTGGGGATCAGGCTTCGGAACCTTTCCTGGCCAGCTGTGTCCCACAGCTGCAGTCGAACCTGCAGAGCCAGGAGTGGAGTGGTTGGTGAGCTCCCCCTGGTGGAGAGCGCTGGGGGAACAGCTCTATGATGCTGGCACCACCCCCGCTCCAGCCCCCGCGCTTGGCATAGACTCTCTGGGGTGCCCAGATAAGGTTCCCAGGAAATAAGCCCTATGGAGCCCCCCATACTGCCTGTTCTAAAATCAGGGGCTCACCGTACGGTCCTCCAAGTACATGGTTTTTGACAAGAAGTCAATCCCAATTGTTGCCTGTTAGAGAAAAATATAGAAAGGTCAAAATTGGAAAGTTTTAGAAAGCAAGAGGAAGGGCTGGCCAGATAGCTCAGCAGACTAAAGCTCCTGCTTAGGCAGAGTGCAATGTCCAGGATGTGATCCTCAGCGTGCTGTGGTGGCCTTGCCTGTGGGGCGCACTCAGATGGCGATGGAGACTGGGTGTGGTGGCACGTATCTGTAATCCCAGCACTTGGGAGCTCAAAACAGGAGAATCACTATGAGTCCTATCTACGTGCTGAGACCCTGTAGACCCTGAGGACCCTGTCCTAAAAAAAAAAAAAAAGCAAGGAAGCAAGCAAGCAAGAGGGAAAAAGTCCAGAGGGCAGTGGCATAATTCAGCAAGAAGGGACACCCATGCCAGGTTTGGTGCAGGCTCCATGCCCAACGTTCCTCTCATATGAGGGGAGCCTGCACTAACCAAGGACAAGAGCAGTTCTTAGGGAGGGATGCTCTCTGGAGTGGAGAAGAAAAAAGGAGAGGGTGATAGAGAAGGGGGTACAGAGAAGAGGTCCCATCCAGAATCTCTTAGAGCTCCCGAATCCTGTTCTCTGAGTCCTAGAACACAGGGGTGGGCTCACTGCTGTCCCAGGAAAGATCTCGTCACTGTTGGGGGACACAGGGCAGATGGGTGGCCTTGGGTGACAGCATAGCAAACCATGTGCCAACATCCCCAAGGCAGCCCTGTGCTGCTTCTGTCCTGGCACCTGGGCGAGGCAGCCAGTCCTGCAGCCAGACAGCTGGCACCCCTCCCTCACTTGCTGTGTGGCCTTGGCCAGGCCACCCAAACTGGATGGGGCTCGTGCAGTGCTGTGAGTAGGAGCTCAGACACTGTCAGTGAGAAGTGGGGATGTCACTGCCGTGCAATTAACAACAACAGAAACTCAGCCTCAACCCGTGTGTCCAGGGCACTGATTAGGTACC